CTACGCATCGATGCGTGCGACGCGAAGTCGCTACGTGAACTGAGGCGCCTCCGCTCGGGTGCGTACTAGATTGGAGCCAGCACGTTGCCAGCACGGTGGATGGTGTGCACGTCGTGGTTAGTCCTGGCCGGCAACGGGAAACGCCTAGAGGAGTGGCCATGCCCGACCAATCCGGTGCTTTGCTAGCTCGCCGTGTGCCGGAGGGTGCTTAATTGCAGACACCAACCCCTCTCGACCTGCCCAAGGATCGATCACCGTGCAACCACCGCTCTCCTCGAGCCTTTATTGCTCCTACATTCCGGAATTGGGGCCCTCCTCGATTTCTGGGGCCGTTCTCCTCCACGCAACGAGGATTCCACGATCTTTGTTCGAATTCGAACAATCCAAGTTGATTGCTTTTGTCCGAATTTAATTTTTAAAATTTTTAAAATTGTTTCGGGGGAGGAGGGGGAACACTTCTGCCTCGACACGAATATTTTTCTCGATGAAAGTTTGAACGAAGAGGATATCCACTTCGAGGTGTTGTTATTAATTAGAGAAGAGGAGAGCTCCGCGGAATAGATCGCGACGAGCTCGCAATCAGCTGGTCCCGAGGCTAAGGGGGTGTCCCTAGTAGGATCCTCCTACTTCCTACCTTCTCCATCCCTTTGCCTCCGACCCCAGGTACCCGCATCCAAGACAACGGCCCGTTACGCTTCGATCGAACCTGAACCCACCACGCAAACATATCTGCCGAGGTGAGCGCGTCCTCGGAATTGAAGAGTTGCCGCGATTCCCACCTAAAGGACGGGGCACGGTTAATAATAATTCCTGCCTCGTAGTGAACTCCTCGAGAGTGAACCGAGGATTCGATAGTTTTTAAAGAAATCGTCGAAATATTATGAAATTGGCGAATAATTGGGGACGACCCAATTGTCGATCTAATGCCCTTAATTTAAAGAGAATGATAACATTTCTTTTGCGCGACGACGCGTATCCNCGCACGTGCGATTTCGAGTATCGGGCACGTGCGCTCCCGATAACTCCACTTCCTACCACGTGTTCACAGGTGTGCCTGAACACGGCTCTTAATTAATAAGAAGACGCTTGCAACTACTGGTAAACTCGAATTGGTAACGCTCGAATCGATACGCCGGAGAGAAATTTGTTTCGGGGGGCGTAAAAAAGGAAGGCGAAGAAGAAACAGTCGGTCAAAGGGCAGGGATTTCCGTGTGCCGGGTGATGGCTCTCTCACCCCTTCCATAGTTCTCCGGGAGAACTGGCATCGAAAGAAGGGAGGGGATGGTGTCAAGGGGTCGAGTGGAAAGAGATCGAAAACGCGCCCGATCAAAATATATATATATATATATATATCCTCGAAAATTCTTCCAACCACGCTTGCAAACGTTCCTTCTCCTATCTCTAAAAGATTGCTTTTTACGAGAGAAAAAAAAGAGGAAAAAAGAATCGAGAAGGAAAAAGAGAAGAGAAGAGAAGCGAGTAGCAAAGGGGTGAAGGAAGATAGCAGCGCGGAGAGAAAAGGAGGAGGGGAGGAGGAGAGGGCAGAGCGGGGAGGGGTGGAGGAAGCGGAGTTCGGGTCTGTTTAAACACAGAGGGTGTGCAATCAGGAGTGTTTGCCGGGGCACGAGCGAGCGAGCGAGCGAGCGAGCAAGCGAGCGGATCAAAGGATAAACGCGGATGGGGTGGGTGGGCCGGCTGATAGCGCTCTGATTTGATTGTTGGCCACGGCTATTGTCCCCGACACTGGCCCTATTGTACTTGTCCCCGTGTCGGTACAGCCTCGGTACTTGCACACAGGTAGCGCCACGGCTGGAACTACGCTTCTGCCTGTGACACTATCTCTTTGCCGGTCGCCATTCCGTTTCCAAGCTGGCGAGCCTCGATACGACCGACAATTATTGCGGAAATATCGCTGAAAAAAATTGCGCCTACCCCCATTCTCGCCTCTCTCTCTCTCTCTCTCTTTTTCTTTACTTTTTCCAATCCTCTCTCCCTTCTTTTTTTTTCTCCTTTCTCTCTCTCTCTCTCTGCCTTCCACCTTCTACCATTGTCTAGGTGTCTCGTGTATTTTTATGACTTCTCGGTGAGCGAGTTTTGCCGCGATTTTCACGAGCGGATTATATTTTTTTTTTTTTTTTTTTTTTTTGCACCATACATTTCGATACAAAGCTCCGCGTACGGGATTAATCTAGAGGGAACGATCTCGATCTCGATGGTTCGAGCTAATTCGCTTCGAATTTTTCCCCGTCCCCGGGGAAAGACAAATTTTCGGCGTTATCCGAACGCATCTGTCAGCGGCATTTGCATAGAATGCACGCTCGCTTTTATTAACAGTGGCGCGCCCGCCAGGGTTAAAATATTCCATCACCTGTCACCCACGTGCGCAGCCTCGAAGAGAAATTGTACCTTACCTCGAATACGTTACCTTACCTTCTAATGTCCAAAGTTAAACTTTTCGTGAAATATATTCCGATGCAAAGGAATTATACGAGTTAAAAAAAAAAAAAAAAGGATATTATTATATGTTGGAACATAATGTGTGAACGGAATCGGTAAATAGTGTATTGTTAACCCGGGTTCAGGGGATGATATTTACCTGGATAAGAGGCAGATGAAGCGAAGAGCTCGATGGAACATTCGTAACCCGCTCGCATCTCTCGGCTCGTGCCGGCTGCTTCCGGTTTTTCATAGCTTCTGCCCTTCTGGGAGATCCGATCTTGACGTGAACTTTGTTGTAATTCACTCGACGCGAGTCGCGTCATCTTTGCAGATTATCGAGGGACGAAGACGTACAAAGGATTCGTGATATCTCGAGGGATCGGGCTGATGAAGAGAGAGGAAGAGAGAGAGAGAAGAAATGAAATTTTTATCGAATTTTTACTTATATAATGATTCTTCGCATTATTTCATTATTTCTGTCTGACATTTCTTTAAAAAAAGACAAAGCAGTCAATGTTTGAAAAATCCTTCGAAGATCAGGATGATCAGGTTGTTGTTCGGAAGTGGCAAACGGGAGCCATTGTTGTTTCGCGTTTAACCGAATTTAGCCCGGAAAACACGCCCTCCAAATCAAGGGTTCGCTCGTAGAAGAAAAAAAAAACCACCCTTCGAGATATGTCCCTGGGGTGTTGTGACATATGCTTCTAGGCGGCTTATAACGATGGGATTTTCTGCGTGGGGGAGGGGGAGAATAGTCTTTCGAAATTGAGGATGAAATTGGAATCGATTCTTTGGAAAAAGAAATTATCATTCGTATATTCATTCATCTATTCCTGTCATCTATCGAAGTAAAAGGTTTAAGATATTATTATTAACAATTTCTATATAATTGATCTTCGTAAAGCGTCGAAATCAGCTACCAAAGGGATTGTTTAATTATTACGCGATTAATTAAATCGCTACGTAAGAGAATCGGATGATTCTCCTCGTGGTTCACACGGTTCATACCTGCGATGATTCCACTTTTCGATTCTCTCTCACACTCATTAAACCCATAGGATCTTATCTGTTATCGAACGGCAACACGACTCTCGCATCCAATCAACATTGGCCGAGGAAATTTTGTAACGGGGGAGCGATCGATGGTAGTCGATTAATATCGCATCCCCGATCACGTGTCGAATCGTTTTCGTGGGGAGTTTCCACCACGTCTGTCGTCGAATTAAACGCAATCAATTTTTCAATTTCTCGTCCCACCCTTCGTCACACTTATTTCGTACGAATCATACTTTTATCTTTCCTTTCTTTTTTTTTTCTTATTGATGTAAAATTCATACGATCACAAAATCCCATTATTTTAATTGGAAAATAAAAAAAATTCTTTCGAATTCCAAGAAGTCGTCCAAGAACAAATCCTTGGAATTCTTTTTTCCTGAGAATTGAGAAAGAGAAAGAAAATGTCGCGTTGACTCGGGTTAAACTCTCGTAATCATATATCCACTCGATCCTCATCGTCCCTTAAAGAACGACCATCCTTCGCCCCGTCCAAGGAGATTAAACTCTGGTTCACGTCTCTTTCCTCCACCACGATCGGAGGAACCCCCGAAAACGTTTCATTGTGCGCCAATTGAAGCTCGTTTAAGCGGGAGGGGTTGCCGCTAAATTGATTTAAATTGGCTTGGCCGCATTGGGGGAGGGATGGAGGGGTAGGTAGGAGGGACGAAAAAAAAGAAAAAAAAAAAGGAATATCGCTCTCCCTATCGCCGCGTGGAATCTTTCCACGATACGGGAGCATTTATACTCTTCTCCTTACCTGACTTTTCGTCCTCTCTCCTCCGCGGGTCACCATTATAAATTTTTTCGATGAAATTTTCGTGACGCGCCCCATTAGGGCACCCGTATCCTCTCTCTCAGCTGCGAATTCGACGCGAGTTGTCGCGGCGCACCTATATAGACGTGTCCGTTTTTTATGACTTATCGTGTTCCATAAGATTGACGACATTTCCATTCGAATCCTTTCTTTCTTTCTTTTTTTTCTCTCTTCTTCACTTTTTATTCCGCTGTCCTCGCGGAAGGATCGACACGTCAACCGTCTCGGATACCGCGTTGATCGAACGGTTCCCTTATTAGCTTTTCTATGGAAAGAGGCGTTTTGAGTAGAAAGAATTTTTATTCCTCTTTCTTTCTTCAAATGATCCCCTTTAATAACGAATTGTCACTATTTAATTCAATTTGGAGGGTTAAAAAATTCTTGACTCTTCTCTCGGTTTCTCTCTCAATAAATTGATTATTTATATCGATTCATTCGATGATTCCTTTCTATTTAACGAACATTTGATGCGTATTTCGTCGAGATCCAACCCCTCCTCCCCTGCATGCGTCGTATTTCTTCGAGATTTTTTTTTCTCTCTCCTCTCGTAGGGAGGAGAATTATTGTTGCGACAAAGGACAAAAGGATATTCGATCGTTTATTTCTTCTCATTAAAGTGTCGTTGCTTCCGTCGTTTTGTTCGAACACACGCGACCAGTTTTTCGACCGGTAGCTGGTAGGGGTTCGTTAGCCGTTTAGGATATGATCCGCCGGCGTCTGCATAAATTAAACTTGCTCGCCCCGCCATTTAGCTCGGCCGACGTCCCGCCGAGAAGATCCTCCAGTTTTGATACTTGGCACGCGTGGACGATATAAATTTTGCAATTTTTAAAAACTGACCCCTAATAATTCCTCTCCCTCCCCAATTTAAGATTTATTGTTCGATTGCGAACCGTGTTCATTCTTCGATTTTATTAATCTTATGCCGAATTTTCATCGAATTTTGAATCTCTAGTGGAGAAAATATGATTTAAATGAAGGGAGATGTTGCGGTATGGGAATTAACGTCTCGACGGATCCTTTTATTTGTACTCCATAAATCCCTGTAACTCGATACGCTGTGAAGGGGTTATCAACAAATGTGTTCAAACATATAGGGTGTCGCCAGACCAGCGAGAAGGGAGGCCTAAGACCAGACCAACCCCTTGTGTCAATAATCAACCCTGTAATCCTTTCGCCATCACGGGGGATCCTTCTGATGCGCTTATGACCGTTGAAGAATCGCTTTCCAAATGACTTCTTAATTCCTGTATTTCAATTTCATTATCTTCGTACCAATAAACGAAAATTAAACGAAAATAAACGAAAATTAAAAATTCAAATTGAAAAGAATCGATCACAGTTTTTCTCGTGGAAAAAATTCACCAAATTGAACGAAAAACTTCAAAAGCAGATTCTAAAGAAAATATTCGCGAAAGAAAGAAAGAAAGAAAGAAAGGAAGGAAGATAATGTGAAATTTTTCTCGAAAAACGGAGGACGATATTCCTTCATTTTTCGCGACAATGGCCCCTAACAAGGCTCGCGGTGATGGATCAGCGGCATTCTTCGACCAGCACGCGCCTCGTGTGCATCCACAAAAGGCGGACAAAGATTCAGCGAAATCCTCTTGACACGAGCCGGGAAGATCGATCCGGAAGCGGCGGGTTTCGCCCACGCGCCCGTCGGCCACCTCGGAACGAGGATCGTGTCGTTTGGATACGCGAACTCGTACATCATCTTGCGGACGTGAAACACGGACGTGGATTCTCATGAAGTGGATTTTCGCGAAGTCACGGGGAAAAAGGGTCTCGGGGGGGGGAGCTGTTGTTCCTCTCGATTGTTGTTTGGACGCGGCACGCGCGCAAACAGAGCGTCTGCGGCGATGAATGGCCAACGGTCTGATCGCAGTCTATTAAAGTAAAAATGATTATCCGAGGCACTGACAGGCCGAGAATTCGTGGACGGGATGAAGGAAGGGATGCTCGATGGTAATTCTATATGGGAGTCTGGTACGGGTTCTGGGTCAGCATATGGGGTGGTTACCTAGACGTCCTAATAAGTCCATAATGGGACGTGGGCTTGGATTCGATCCTGATTCTCTGTTGCTCTTGTCCAAGCGTTCCTTTAAAGGGAAATTGAACGCATTATTTTATTTTATTCTTCTTCGATCAATTGTCGAGCGTTTATATATATATATATATAGGAGTGTTTTGTATTTAGATTATTGAATATTCTTTCCGAAGATTTTTTAAAAGGAGATTAACATTAAAAGATAATGTAAAAGTTGACGACGAACAACGATGGAAACCCTA